AAGGACTTGAGCTGCTCTCGCAACAGTATTTAGTTACAGCCGGGAATAAGAGGACAGGCTCAGACGATTGGACGAAACTTTGCCTGCAGGTTCTTCAAAGCCGGTCATTTCAGCACCGCCTACATCCCCCCGACCCGTTTTCCCCCCCTTCAGGGTATTATGATAACACCCGCAATGTTCGATGGCGAACGACTAGGTTGCCAGCAAAGCCCAAAGCATGCTGAGCCAGAGGGAAAGCCTTTGGGAGTTTGCAGGCCTGCCTTCAAGAGTTGGCGACATTGAGCTGAGGGTGCCTTTATTCAAGTGTCCCAGGGGACTCTGCTCAGTCTTCATTGGCTTCGGGACCTCGTTTTCCACTGGCTACCGGGGCCGGGCTTGGTTCCACCGGTTTTAAGTTGCAGCTGGAACATTCTCCTGTTAGGGGTGGCTCTGTGCTTGGCTGGAGAAGGCGAGGGTCTAGCGGAGCCATCAACTCGATCCTTGGGTCTGAACAATACCCCTCCCACCTGAACCCCTTTCAGGCCACGGCCCAAAGGGTCTAACAGCTACTCATGCATTGCATGAGTCCCAGCCACAGACACAACCCACGATGTTCACCAAAGGGAGAGAAAAGCATCGTAAATTCCACCCAAGTTTGGCGACAAGGAAGGAAGTTCCTTCACTCCTGGCGTTGGAGCCCAAGTCCAAGAACTCTGCCCCCAAAGAAGTTGCCATCCAAGTCCTTGAAGAATGCCACCGGGCAATCAGGCAGCTCCAGTAGTTAATCTTGGCCGTTCCTTTCATCACCAGGAGTCACCTTGACTACTCCCTGTAAGCCAGAATCCCACCGTGTCCATTCCTGGCCAGGCACAGCAGGACAACTCCCTAGGTCTTGGTGTGGAGGAACAAACAAGCCAGAGCCACCGGGCTGAGAAGAGCAAGCAGACACCGAGGCAGGCGGCCAGTTAGCTGCGTGCCTCGCCTCTGCGGCCCAGGGTCGGGAGGCTGGCAGGTTCACGGGTCTGGAAAACGGAAACGAGCAAGGCGGCAGTTTCTAGTGGGGGCAGCATCCGCAGCCCTTAACTCGGGCCCTCCAGTGTAGCCCAGCCAAAGATCTAAGAATCTTCTACCTCCGGCACCAAGCCCCCCCGAGCCCCTGTGACGGGCGCTAGCCCTAGCCGGCAGCAGACAGGACCCACGTCCCTGAGCCAAGCTGGAATTGGTTAGACCGCCAGCTATGGCGGAGACCACACAGGCGCCGCCGGAGGGCAAGGCTGACCACCGCGCCTCCACTTTATTGTGTGAGTTATGGCGACCAATTGGGCGGCTCGGGGGAACGCAACTGGCCTTTCTCCTGCTCTAGGGCGGGGGTGGAGTAGGAGTTGGGGAAGTGGGGGGGGGGAGCCCTGGGCTCCTCAGGGCATTGCCAGTTTCTTCAGGAGCTCAGGCACGAGCGATGCTCTATGCTCCCCATCTTTCCATGCGAAGTGGGGGTAGGTACAAGCTACAGACCCAGTTCCTAGGGATTTGATGACATCCTGAGGCGTTGGTTCTCCGATAACTCTAACTTTGTGAAACTATGATGTCCCAATAGTCACAGGCCGGAAAATTCCAGATCCAGGTGTGTTTGCAGTCTAGGTGCTTCTTGTCTCAATACCCTACTATTCTCTAGTATTTGTATGCCTTGGGGTGTCTCCCTCCAATTCTTGGGCAGCCTTACAGCAACCGTTTGTCCCTTGGGACTAAATGAATAAAAGGACCTAAGTGTGAAACAGGTAAGACCAAGACACCTAGACTTCCGCCGCTGCCCCAACCGTTCTGCTTTATGCCCAGGTTCACGACTTTAGATATCTGATAAGCAAAGTCTTGTTCGTAAAGAGCTAGGAGCTGGAGGCCCGAAGGAGGGTGGGAGGCGGGAAGGAGGCTTGCTTGACTCCTCAACTAGAGAATGAGACAGGAGCCTGTGGCGCAGGAGCTAAACCGCTAGTTCTGCCAATGCCTCCAATCGCCCAGGAGATGGCGAGCGCGCTCCACGCCTGGCGAAGCGCCGCCGCACGGTCAAGATCAACAGCGAAGGGCGGCGGGGCCGGCTGGGGGTCGCCAGTCGGCGCGGTCACGGCCCGCAGCTGGGAGCTGCGGATAGCCTCGGAAAGCTGGACGTGGTGGCGGCGAGGCTGACACCGACACGGAACCCAGGGACTAGACCTGAGGAAGCGTAGCGGGAGCGCCTTTGTCTCCTCCTGTATCCCAGCTCTGAGTCTTCCCTTCGCCTCTGAATCTCGTAGACTCGCTGACCCCGATGCCCCACCGAAGCGCCAGAAATCTACCAGGTTTCAGAGCAGCTCTCCCTGCAGCTTCTGGGTCTCTAACCAAAGGAAAGGGCTCTATTCAAACTCTCAAAGCTTTAAGGCCTCTCTGCAGGCCTACTTCGCAGTGCCTGGGCCAGTGCAGGGCTCTACCTCCCTCCTCAATTTAGAATATGAAAGGAACACATATAAATAACAAAGCCTTCATCTGTTATTGATTTAGTCGTTAATCCAGATTCCACCAGAGAGCATTTGAGCGCAGTTTTAATCTTCAGCAAATCTCCTATTTCTCTTAGGCGGAGGGAAATTGACGAGTAAACTACAGATCAAAGGAAAATCTCTCAGCAAGCCCCTCTACCCACGATGAGAAACCCGAGAAACGGATCTGGGGTATGGAGTTCTTCCCAAGAGCCCGAAACTTGCAAAAAAGAAGGGGAAGGGGCGACAGACATTGGAAGAAGGAAAAGCAGGCCCTTTTGTGATGAAAATACATCTTTTCAGGAAAAAAAAATCAAAAAAAACCAAAACAAAAAACAGCGAGAAAAAGTTTGACCCTTCCTAAAGTGTAAGGTCTAGGATGATGTGGCCTTAGTTTCAGGGGTTATTCTTCTCCAGAGATTAAAACGCGGTTCTGTGTTACTCTGCTTTTTCTCAAAACGAAGTTGGCTTTCCGCAGTCCATAGTAAGATATAAAAGAAATCAAGCTGGGCCAGAGAAAACGAAAGTAGTTCCTCACTTTAAGTCCCAGCGCTTTCTCACGGAACCATAAGGGAGCCAGTCTATCAAAAGAATCTACATATTGTGTAAGATTTTTAAAAATCTGTGTTTAACTGACTTGCATATTCAACTGTTGCAAGTTATTAAATTGATGAAAGAGAAGTATAACTACACGGTATGCCTCAGTTCTTCAGTGGTCATTTCCCTGAATGGCAAGAAAAAACAAAACCGCAAAGAGAAAGTTTTTAGTGCCCCAAAATTGCATCTAGCAATTAGGATGTATTATTGTGTTTTAATGGTCAGTCGCTGAGTACACACTAGTTGGGGGAGATGCTATGGGATAAGCTTGAAATGTTTCTTTTTTGATCGCCAAATATGGATATGCAGTTCTAATTTCAAGACCTTCCTTGTTAAGATATTTATAATGGGCCTCCTTGTGAGTTTTCTTTATACTCAGGCACACAAATGAACATCAATTTCTAAAAGAAATAAAGCTGTATAAATAAATGGATAATATTGAAAGAGAAATAAAATTTTATTGGAGATAGTTTTTGAGCTGGTTTGGTAAAAAAAAAAAAATCATTTTACACATTTCAAACGACACTCATGTTATAACATCATTATTTGTGTTAAATGGGGGAGGAGGCAGGAGGGGTGAGTCAGACATAGAGGTTTCAGGCACCAGAATTGGTGTTATGTTTCCTTCATCTATAGAGAGCATCATAGTGTTTAGAATAGCAAGAATTTATAATAAATAACAACAGTTTCTAGAGGCAACACAAGCTGGAAAGAAGGACACATCTATAAAGACTCAGAGGAAACAAAGAGAGTTCTGTTTATTGGCATCTCCCTAGGAGTAAAAATTGATTTTTAAATTCCTGAAGCACTGCTCACACACACCAGCTCACAAACATTGTCTCTACAAAAATAATCCTCTCAGCTGTATAAATATACAGCACTTTAACAGTTGTTATTTAGCGTAACTTTCAGAAGCATTCTTCTTCCTTCTTGGACCTAAGAGCTCCACAGTTTTTGAATTAGATGATTTAAAGCTCTTCAAGAGGCCCAATGCATTTGTTCAGACAGCTAAATGCTTCCCTGGGTTCTGGATAGATGTTGCCATTCATGGCCACACCGGCTCAGTCTTTCCAGGAATTGAGGAGAGGGCCTCCATTCCATTCCTACCAGAGGACAGGGAAGGGGTGCATTCACATCACCCTCAGGTTACTCTGCCAATTGAGTTATTTTAATACCTGCTTTTGAGTTGGAGAAATGAAGGCATCCAGGAGTAAATATTATTTTTTCAAATTAAAGATTATAAAAGTCAGGCTATCAGGTGTATTGCAAGTATGCAACTAAAACAGCAAGTGAGAGATTCAAAGTTGTAAAGATTGTCTTCATTTCAACAGAGAACAAACATGATTTAAGAAGGTAGTTACTTTTAAAGCCAGTGGAATGGCTTTAGCCCTGTTTTCAGACTTTCTCAGTGATGCCAGAGCAGTGCTTTCCACTTGCCCCAGGGCAACTGCTGAGAGCTAACAATTCAAGTACCCCACCACTACCCCACCACAGGTTGTGAATGGCTGAAGCCTTTCTGGCCTAACGGATCAAGAAGACTAAGCGTGCTGGAAATTAATAAAGTGATTAAAACAAAAACCTTGAATCTGAATGGCACTTCTGTAATTAATTTGGGGGATTATTAAAAAATACTTCAAGTCTTTTACACTGGCCTGGAGGGAGAAACAGAACATTAAAAAAATCATTAAAATAAACCTAGACAAGAACAAAACCAACAATAAGCAGTAAGAAACTACAAAGTTAGGTTGGGCTGCAAGAAGTTTCAGAGCCAGATAAGGGTCATGAAAGAAAAGAAATTTCACAACATTTACCATCATAGGTAGGAGGGAAGGGGGAATTAAATACATATTCAAGTCTTTCCAAAGGTCTTTTGGTGACAACTGAAAAAATTTAAACTGTCCTTGGCCAGCCTGGCCCATATCAGGAGACAGTATCTTTGAGCTTGGAGACAATTTTCTTGTCCTTTACTCTTCGGTTCTGAAACCAAATGGTCACTTGTCTCTCCGATAGGTTTGTGGCAGCTGAAATCCGCCGCCGCTTGTCCTTGTTAATGAACTTGTTAATGGCATACTCGTTCTCCAGTTCTTTGAGCTGCAGTTTGGTGTAGGGTACCCTTTTCTTCCTTCCCCGACGGTAGACACACATGTCTGGCTGATTTAAAGCCACATCCCCTGGTACAAACAACAGCATGGGAAAAATTAGACTGGATACTTGAAGCACTTAACTCTCTCTCTCTCTCTCTCTCTCTCTCTCTGTGTACTCAGAGAGGTGTAGAGAATAAAGAAAAACCACAATGTTTACTCTTTATTGTTATTTACATGCACATATTCTTTATTAACTAAATACTATTTGAACTTCAAAACAGTGGCTACTTTGATGGATTATCATGGTTTCTCAAAGGGGCATCTTCATAAGCCTGTGATTTTAGGGCCCAGTTATTGGGAAGCTCATAAGGACAGAGTGCCTGCAATTACCAGCTGCATATGTTCAAACACACACACACACACACACACACACACACACACACACACACATTCAGATCTTTTGCTCAAGGCTTGATTTCTATGTTCCTATGTTTGGAGTTTCTTCAGAAGCTTTAGTGGTCTTTGGATTGTCCCAGTCCTTGAAAGCTGGGGACTCAGACCAGTGACATCTTTTAGGAAAGAGGCCTGCCTCTTCCAGAGAGGGGACCCTAGTAAAGGGCACCGGGCACGCTCAACTTTGGGGGGAAAGCCATCTGTATCGCACACTGGAAGAAAAAGATTGTGAGAGCGTTTAAAGCGGAGGAAGGATTTACAGATTTCACGGGAACTATATTAACTTTTGAGCTCAACTTGGTCAGGCCTGGAGCCCAGGCACCCACACCCAAATAGGGGCGCACATTCCTCTGTCTCTCCCTCTGTCTGTCTGTTTCTGTCTGTCTCTGTCTCTCTCCTCCTCCCTCTTTCCTCCCTTTTCTCCATAGCCCCTACCTGGAAAGGAAGATTTCCAAAAGTGGGAGCCCTGTGGCTGGTCCTTGGCACAGTACACCTGGCTGTTCCACCCGTTGGTCAGCGTCCAGGACTGGTAGCCCTCCATGGAGATGTATGCTTCGTGCCTAGGCTCCCCGGAGCCAAAAGTGGACACCATGTCGATGTACCCAGGCACATGCTGATAGGGGCTCGTGTAGCCCTGGTAGAATGACACCTCCTTGGCTCGCGCGGGCACCTCGTTGGTGGGTACGCTGCTGCTAGCCAGGCCCGACACGTCCATGTACTTCTCCACGGGGAAGCCTCCGAGAGAGGCGTGCGGCGACGACTTGAGAGCGTTCTGCTGCAAGCCCACGCCGTGCGACATACGGCAGCTATAATAGCCGTTGCCGAAGTGGTAACCATAGCCCAGCGCGGGGGCGCCGGGCGGCGCTGCCGCAGCCGCGGCGGGTGCGGGCGCGGGACACTCTTTAGTCGGGGGAGCCTCTGGGCGCGCGGCGACCGCAGCCGAAGACGACGACGACGAGGCGGAGCCCGTGCGCTCCGAGGTCCCGGGGTAAGCGAAGCTGGAGGCCGCTGCGGCCGCCGCCGCTGCTGCCGCCGCCGCCGCCGCCGCCCTCCCCGAATGCGCCCCGGCGAAGACTGGCGCGGAGAGGAAGCCGCGGCATTGGCCCGGCGCAGCTGCCGCGGCCACCGAAGAAGAAGACGAGGCCGGGGCGGCCCCAGAGGCCCCGCCGTCCGCCCGCAGCCCGTCCATATCCCAACTCCCGGCGCGGCTCATGGCCCGGCCTGGCCCGGCCCAGGCCCGGGCCCCGGCCTCGCGCAGGACACCATGGCGCGGCGCGCCTCCTCCCTCCTCTCCTTTCTCTCGGGCTCGCTCGCTCCCGCCCTCTTCCTCTCGCCCTCTCTCCCTCGGCGAGCCTCCCGCCTCCCGCCCGCCCGCCCGCCCGCCCTCCAACAGGTTAGCTCATCGCGGGACGTTTATAAAAACGAAGTTCAGGTTGGGAGGGGGCCTGGGCCGGCCGGGGGGCCGCCTCCCGCCCCGAGGCGCCGGCCGGGGGCCGTGCCATTGGCTGCGCGGGGCCACGTGGGGGGTGGGGGCGAGGGGGAGCCCGGCTGCAGGCCCCGGCCCGACTGGACCCGCCCACCCCGGCCCCCACCCCTCCTCGGTTTGATGCGCCCCCCCCCATTGGTGCCCTTCCCCTCCCCCCCCCCCCCGCACCCGACCAGGGGTTTGTGCCGCAGCCACCCCCACGAGTTGATTGAGCGACGGCCCATCCCAGGCCCTGTCTGCAACTGAGGCGGGCGCCGAGGCCTGCGCCTGGTCTCCGCACCGACAGCTTTTGCCACCTCCCCTCGGTTCCCTAGCTGCACGGCAAACCGAACACGAAGGGCAGAGATAGTCAGCATGGCGTAAAAGTAGACTCATGTTGAAAACTCCCATTACTTCACCGTCCCTTAACCGAACCTCGGTCCCAAGTTCGAGGGAGCTAACTTTCCCTATTTAAAACGTTGTGCCAGGGCAAAGGCATTTGACACACCTAAGATGAGTCTAGTAAACTATCTCCCTCCCCACATATACCGCCCGGAAAATGCCTGCAAAGCGCCGTCCTGGCAGCGGCAAAGACTTGCCAGTAAGTCCAGCGAAGACCCACCTCGGCACGGCGAGCCTGACGATCGCCACCGGTGAGAAAGTGCATGGTTCCCTGATTCGCGCTGGTTCTCGCAAGCCAGCCTCCAAGTCACCTCCAGAGCTGGTCCCACACAGTCCGGCCCCGGCTTCCCCGCGGTGCGGCCGGCAGGAAAGACCCCGGCCAAGAACGAGAGAGGAAAAAGCCACTCGGCCGCCCTCCGCGAAGTTCTGTGCCTCACCCACAGCCTACCGGCCTCTAGCATTTTACAGCCACCACCCACCCCCGCCCGTTACTCACACCAATTAATTGAAAACTTCACTTTCCTTAGGACCTTTGTTTTGCTTCCTTTTCCAAGTTGCCAAACTGCAGAGAATTGAGAAGAACAGTGCTTTTCCCAAGCAAAGTAGGGAGTGGAAGTACATAGAAGAAGCAGCCCGAAGCAACTAGGTCTGCCTTCAAGAGGGTATGGTGGATTCCAGGCTGTTCTGGTGGGATGGTCCTGCTGCCAGAGTCCTCCAGACGACAGCCCCAGTCCCTCCATGTCACATTCTGCACTCCTCAGAGTGTCAGGCCACCACCCTCCAATCTTAGCAATTAACAGAACACTCATGAGCCCTATGGCAAATATAGGAGTGTGTCTTGCACTATTAGAGTTGGTGAGCCAACGGTGTTGAAGTGAGTCTGGGAACCTTCAAAATGGGCCGATGTGGTTCTGTTACACCAACTCTCACTATCTTCAAGAAAATTGGCTCCCAAGCCTAGATTGGTGAGGCCAGATTGTCTTCCAGACACAAGACAGAACCTGAGTAGGGTCAAGAAAACAACCCCTGGGCCTGGTATTGTAGGGTGGGCTGCCGGTGTTGGGAGTGTTGACATGCAAAACACAGTAACCATAAAAGGCTCAAATAAAGGTGAAAGTTATGAGAGAGATGCTGGAAAAGAAAAGCAAGATAATTTGACTTTTTTATTTTTGAAGTCCTTTGCATATCTGCAACCAAGTGCAAAACAAGAGGGGTCTCAAGCTTTACAGAGCTGAGGAAATAGAAATTTGCTGATGAGAATAATTTTGACAACTGGGAGACGCAACCGGTCCACTGGATGCTAGATTGCATGTAAAGGACTGGTGATACACAGGGTTTCTGACTTTGCAGGATTGATTATGGCCCCTCTACCAAATGATACCCCAAATAATCATGTGGGACCCTAAGATACTTTTACTTTTTCTTTGTTTCTCTTTCTCTGAGAGAGAGAAAAATATGGAGAGAATTTTCTTCTATGACTGCAAGAAATCTACTGAGGTATTGCTAACACTGAACTGGAACCCACAAACTTTCAGTCTCTTAAAACGAAATATTTTGGTGGGTTTGTGCCCTTGGACTTCAGTTCCATTTTTCATTTTATAATTACATGTCAATGGAGAGTTATATATTACAAATGAAAAAATTAAGATAAGAAGGATTAGACAATTTCTATGATTTCAGGCAGTCTTTCAATTTGGGCTTTATTTTCTGTGTAATAAGTGAAGTTGTGCCAGAATAGGAAGAAATGTTCAATTAATGCTTGACTCGAGACTCCTCTGTAGGTCCCCATTTACAGATGCAGGGGCAGGGGACTTGGCTTATAGGAACTGGGTGTTTCTATCTCTATCCAAAAGTGTATTCAGAGATTAGGGAAGTTTTGAATAAGGTGGATTTGATCAAGCTTTTGAGGTTCCAGCTCTGCAGAAGGGGATTACGCCTAGAAATGGGGTTCTGACTGATTCCAGGTAGACTTAACTCCTATATTTTAGCACCCAGAAAAGGCTGTGGCAAAGTGCTAAGTTCCACAGTTGACAACATGGTAGGTGAGGAAAGTATTTTAAATTCTGTTGAATAGGTGGAAATGGTTTCTTTAGCATGTATATCTTGTGCCTAAATGATTTGGGGTTAAAACCTAATAGCAATTATTTTCTTAGGTTGTCGGGCAGGACAGAATGAGCCCTACGCTTGCATAGGTATATCGACAACAGAAGTAAGCTTTGGTAAATGGGAAAAAAAACTTTTGTAAGATTAATGTCTCCACAACATATCTTACTGAAATGTTGTACCACATTTCCTAATTTGCGTTACAAATTCAAGATATCCTTTGTTGCCCAAAGCCCTTACTTTCCTCTCCCATCTCTTGCTCCTCTTCCTCCTGTTGCTCCACAAGCACCTTTTTGAAAATTGGCACAGTTTTAAAATCATATCCTCTTTTATTCTGTGTAGATGATCTTTCAAACTGTGCTCCTGTCCTGGGTTGGGAAATGGGGGAATACAGGCTGTGATTTAGATTTATTGAAGTCGCTCTGCTTGCCAAGTTAGCAGTAAGTTCAATTAACTGTATGATCTGTGACTATTAAGACCAAGATGAGAAAGTCCTATCAGAGTGCAGTCCTGGGGATGCCTTTGAAAGCATTTGCCTTGATGTCACAACAGGAAGAGCAGGGCAGTTGCCTAGTTAACTGTGAGAACCAATGATTCAGTGCATAAAAGTCTTAATTCTAAAGTGAAGTCTTAAGTGCAGTGGAACTACATAGATAGTGTGCCTAAGTGTTCAGCCTTCCAACTTTGGAGTTAATTTTCCCTCCCCAGCCAATAACCTGTTCCACTCAGGCAGGATCTATCAAAAGCACAAGCAAGTAAAAACCCACCAATCACCTCCCCCAAACACAAGCTGGAGTGTAGAAAAGAGACGGTAGCAATAGCCAGACAATGGAAATCTCCATGTATCTGGCCACTTTCTGTCTTGAGATGTGCTCTGTTTTGTTTAACAACAAAATTTACGTATTAAATAAAAATAATTCTCAACAACAAAGAACCTCTCCAGACATAAAACATTATTTGCTGAGACTAGATTTGCCTCCCACAGGGTAGCAGGCCCTTGTTTGGGATGAACAAAACTCCTGCAGTCTTAGAGGGAATTAAACAGCAAGAAATTTCCCTTTCAGAGAAACACTGGTCTGTCTGGGAAAGAGGCTTGAGATAATGTGGCCAGGGCTGGAAGACCCAATAACTTCTTGCTGTTTTGGGAAAATAACAGTTAGGATTGCAATTTGCTGTTTTCTTTGACAACTCAAGGTATAGAGTAGTCATAGAAACACACTTTTCCAGCAAAACTATTGTTAGCCTAAACTCAGTAAATGCTCAAATGTAGACTGTTGGGAGTTAAAAAAAAAAAAGAAGTCTATTTGTCACCATTTATCAGAGATCTTGTTCTCAATGGGAAAACAACACATTATGATTAACCAGCAAGGCAAAAGGATGAAGGTTAGGAAAGTACCTAAGCAAGAATGAGGAATGTAGAGGCAGGAGAAGGGGCGCCAGTGGTCCGGCTTAGTTTTCCTGCACAGCGGCACGCAATTCCCTAAGCCCGGCGCTAGATGTCTCTGCAAGTTCTCCCGTCGCATCTGAGGGCTCACAAGCTCCAGGCAGGCGGCGTGCCTGAGCACTTCCAGGGTCCAGAGAGAAAGTGCCCACCCAACCCCTCACCCACAACCGTTCCCATTGTGGCGCCACATTGCAGAGGAAGAAGGAGAAGGAAAGGCAGAAGAACCAGACCTAGACCCAGAGCTGGAAGCTTGGCAGCTGAAGGGTTGGAGCATGGAGTTGCCTGAATAAACTCTGGCCTGGTTCTTCAAATCCTCACCCTCCCTCATAAACCTCCTGCCACCGGGATGGCCCTTAGCCTAAAGGAAACATGCACCGTGCTAGCAACCTAGGCTTTGGAAGTCTTGATTTCTCACCACTCCCTGCTGGCTGCCCAGCTCTCCAGAGATCATTTTAACTCCCTGTGCATTGCTAGGCTGGTGGCCTGGCTGCCAAAGGCCCTTCTTGGAGAAAGATTCAAGCCCCAGACACCTCAGCTTGAGCTTTTGCCTGAGTGCCTTCTCTTGGGCAACCTAGACTGATTTTTACTGCCTGTAGTCTCAAAAGAGTTTACCACTTCAACTCACAGAACCCTCTGCTGCAAAAGAAACAAATATTTAGTCTGTAGGACTAACAAAAAACCCCACAAAACAAAACAAAAAAAATCCAAACAGATGTTGCTCATGTCATTCTGCCTTTCTAGCAAAAAGTGCTTTTCAATACATATGGAGTAAGTCCTTCCAGCACCCAACCCCTCGCCCCCATCTTACAAAATTGATTCCAAGTCATGCCTGCGTGGGTTGGATTCACATTGTATTAAGTGAGTCTTGTACATTGCGAGTGTGTAGAAGGCTCACAGGAAGCCTTGACAACAGGAAAGCCTGAATCTATCCAGGACTTAAAAAAGCCAGGTCCCAGCTTTGGCCACTACATCGTGGAAGATGTAGGAAGTTACTGTATTTTATCAATAAACATCACCATTAGTACCTTCATCTTCTCTCTGTGTTCATTCTTCTCTTCTACACAGGCTCGGTTTTTGAAGTAACCTGAATTTAAATAAGACATGCTATGCAACCTTGGAATTATAGTATGAAGATGTGTTTATTGTCTATTATTGAGATAAATTTAAATCAGCAGCAAGTCACCGGATGTCTCTATCAAAAGTTCCTGAAAAGGGAATAATATGATTTTGAGTTACCCTGAGATTTAGAAGAGATAATACATAGAAAAAGTCCTTGCAGTTACATACTAAGAGCGTTATAAAAGTTATTCAATAGTGTTAGTGGAATACAATAAACAAAGGGACATTAAGTATTGTAATAGAGTGCTCACTCTGCTCCATGAAACATTATTGTCAGCTGAAGGCAGTTTAGCGAAAAATTTAGGTGTCTTTTACTGCAAGTACTTTTCCCTGAGCGGGTCTCGAATGTACTTTTCATAACAAACGTGCTAGAAATGCAACACTAGTGTTATTTAAAAGGTGCACAACAGTCTTGACAACCACTGGTGATAGTGGTCGCCGAGAAATGGCCTTTTCCCTTTTAACAGACTTAAGTTGAATTTGGCATATCCTTTGGAATCAGAGGCGCCGGGGTCTCAGAAGCGGGAGAATCGGGCCTCGTTCCTAAAGGAAGGTGGTCTCCAGCCCCAACCTCGAGCGCTCGGGCCGGTTGCAAAGCGGCATACAGCCGCTGAAACCGCGAGGAAAACAGACGGGGGCGCCAAACGACAGCAATAAAGGCATCCGCGGATATCCGCCGGGGCAGCGTCTGCAGCCTCCTCCACGTAGCGAGGGCCTGGCCCCCGGTCCCCCTCCCCCTTCCCGGAGATGAGCTTGGACCAAAGTACCTCATTTAGGTCCCAGAGCAAGCAGAGACTAAGTAGAGGGACCCTTCCTGGGGCACCGAGGCAGTGAGTGCCAGGACTTGTGGAGCTGGGCGTCTGAGCTGGAGCAGGTGGGGGCTTCCACGGGGCTAGTGGCCGGAAAAGCCTGAGCAAGGAGAACGCACACGGCGTTCACGGGGCGGAGGTGGGTGCCCGGTCAAGTTCTCGTCCAGGTGCCCACTTTTCGTTCCCAGCCGCCTCGGCAGCCCCAGAGTTACTGCGTGCTCGTTGAGCTCCCCGTTTATTACCTAAAAGACGTGGGGCTGACTTTCTTCTAAGCAAAGCTCGTGTGGTTGAAATAAGTTGGCTCCAAGGGTAACAGGAGAGAAACTTTTGGCATTGACTATATATGTGTATATATGTATATAAATATACTTCACACCTCGCCTCCCCTTACATTCCTGACGCGCCCCCAACGGGTCCAAGGTTAAAAGGAAAGCGCCAACAGACAGATGGGCAAATAGAGCCAGAGTTTGCCCCTAAGACACACCGATGTGTTGGGTGTGTCGGAGGGAGGGGAGAAGGGGGCCCAGGTTAGGGGGTCGGAGTCGCCGCAGCGGGGATGCAGGACCTGCGCTCAGCGCTCAGATTGCCAAGGGTCTCCTGACAGCTTCGGAAGCTCAGGAGCTGAGCCACTGCGTCCTGGAGTCTCACTCTTGAGGGGCTACAGGGGCGGACAGCCCAACGCTTGGGAATCGGGGCTGCAGGGTGGGGCGCAAGCGCGGGAGGAGATGAAGAGCGGCCTGGAGTGAAGATTGATCTCTGTTAAAATGGTTGCCACCGGCGTCATTATGACTATCAAAGTTATCGCCAAGAGGCTCATCCTCCAACCTCAGGCCGCAAGGAGCAGCAGCAAGATTGGTTGGCGGCTCTCTGCTACGGGACTCGGCGTCTGGAACACGCCTGGCCACAGGTAAGGGTCTAGGGTGGAGCGGAGAGGAACGAAAGGAGCAAGAAGAGCTGGGGGTAGGGGGGGTTAAGAACGGCAGGATGGTAGAGGAAGAAGGCTGAGTCCCTTCCCCTCTCCCCACTTAAACCTCAAAATCCAGTGACTTTGTTCAAATACTTCCATTTGAGGAGGGAGGGGGAAAGCTGGCAACATAGAAAGAGGCCCTTATAACGCTGTAAATAGCGCCTGAGTTTAAAGTTAGCTATCGAATCCCACTATCAAAGCGTCCAGGTTAGTTCACTTTCCCCAGGGAAAATGCATAGGCGAAAAGATATATCTATCCGCAGGATTATAAAAAACGAGCAACCACCCACACAACAGAAAAGCAGGGACTTCGAGTTCAGATCTCACTCTGCAAACCTTGTGATGGAATATGAGGGAGAGGGTCTAATGATTTCCATTTGTAGGCACAGGGCCCAACGCACCTCCCTAGCCACGTAGCAAGAAAGCGTTTTCAAAACTCTACAAAATCTCTCTCTCTTTCTTTCTCATCCAGGCTGTGATGGAGGAGAGAAGAGAGAGAGAGAGAGAGAGAGAGAGAGAGAGAGAGAGAGAGAGAGAGAGAGAGAGAGAAGGGACTCATGGTCCTATATTTGTTAAATAAAATACATATTTGGTTCTGAAAACAGAAAGATAAGTAATCCAGACAGGATGGGGCGCAAGGTCTTCTTACGCAACTATTCCTGCATCCTCCTCCTAGTTCTTCCCCCTAACGCCCCCACCTTGTAATTTTTTTATATTAAAAAAAAAAAGCCTTCCCAAGGATCTACTCTGGAAAATCAAAGCATTATCTATTATTTAACACGTATCTATGTCCGTGGAAAAATGAGGAAGGCGCTGCATGATTAGGACCTAAGGGGCAACCCAGCAAACTGAGAGCGTAATGATGCCCCTAAATGAAGGGGGAAATGTGCCGCGGCGCGCTCTATTAATCAGACTGTCAATTTCACCCCCGAGGCCAAACCCCCGGGCGAGCAGAACTGACTCTGAGCGGGCAAAGGACCAGAGCCTTCTTCCTCACTTCTTGTCTCTTCCCGTCTCCTACCTGGATCTATTTGTCTGCTCTGAAGCCGCCTTCATTACCCACTGACAGGAGCGTGTATTTATTTGCTTATAAACCTGTTACAATAAATGATTATTCGAACGGCGTCATTCGTACCTTAATGACGAGCGGGCGCTACTTTTTGATGAATGACATCTCGGGCTCGGAAGGATGTATGGGTCATTTTGACCAGTCATTCCCTCGCTCTAGCATCCCACAATTTTTCCGCCTCCCTCCAAAAGAGATAATAATACTTAGAGGCGCTTGCTGGGGCTGAATGAGAATTAGCCCTAGGCGCAGCCCATCATTAGGACGGGACAGCCGGGCTCCTGTGACATTTTTTAGAAAGCTGAGATGATGGAAAGAATAAGAAAAGAGATGATTCTGATGGAGAGAGGGCTCCACAGCCCCACAGCCGGCAAGAGGTTCTCCAGTTTGTCCGACTCGGCTGGCAGTGCTGTGCTGGAGGCCCTGGAAAATTCGCAGCACCCGGCTCGCCTCAGTCCGCGCCTGCCGTCCGCCCCCCTGCACGGCGCTCTGGGAGACCTCCCCGCCAAGGGCAAATTCGAAATCGACACTTTGTTCAACCTGCAGCACCCGGGCAGCGAAAGCACCGTCTCCTCCGAAATCGCCTCTGCCACCGAGAGCCGCAAGAAGCCGGGCCATTATTCCGAGGCGGCCGCCGAGGCCGACATGAGCAGCGACGTGGAGGTGGGCTGCTCCGCGCTGCGCTCCCCGGGCGGCCTCGGCGCCGCGCCGCTCAAGGAAAACAATGGCAAAGGTAATCGCGCAGCCCGCGGACGCTCCTGGTCCCTCCGTGGCCCCCGCCAGTCCTTCCCGGGGGTTCGTGTCCCTGTGTGACTCCCCCCCCCCCCCCAGCCAGCAGCGGTCTGGCTTAGGCTGGCCCGGTAGGCACGCTAGGGACCGTGCCTTCCTGCCCTGCTCCCTGAGCTTCCAAGAGCCGCACAGGCCTGCGGAGCCTGGGGCGCCAGGCCCGCTGGCCCTGGCCGGTGGACTGCCCGGGAGCTAGCGGCGGAGTCGCTCTCAGGCAGAGGTGCCTGGGACAGAGGTTCGAACCCCCGCAGCCTCCGAGCCCCCAGGGCCGGGTGGCGGGGGGCATTCTTTTGGGGAAGTAGGAGGTAGCTTCACCCCGAGGCTCTACTCCCCCGCCTAAGAAAGAGTTGAAAAGTAGACCTCCCCCCCCCTCCCCTCCTAACAGTCCCGGGCTCAGCTGCTACTGTCTCGAGAACCTTCGAAATATTTTAAGTCAAACCCCAAAGGCTTGTCAGAGAAGAGTCCGAGGCGATACAAAAGCCGGGCCCGCGGTTTCTAGACCGGTGCACACTGGAGCCCAAGGTGACTCCTCCTGCCCGGCCGATTCTCCTCGCGAGTGGAAAATTGCTAATTAATATATATATATTTTAAAGAACCTTCCCAACGCCGTTCCTATTATTTGGTTTTGGAGGTCTCCCCAAACTTTATTGATTCTATTAACGGCAGCAATTTGTAACCCTGACAGACCCCATCAATTCCGGGAGTGACTTTCCTTCCTGACGCGACTTCCCCCGCCGTCAGCGAGCGGCCCCAGCCAGGGGCTCCCGGCCGGTAACCGGGACTCATGCGCTGTTTGTTTGCCAGGCTATGCAGATAGCGGCTCCGCCGCGGGCACCACGACGTCGGCGTCGGGCTCGGGCCTGGGTAGCCTGCACGGAGGCAGTGGCGGCGGCGGCGGCGGCGGCGGCGGCGGGGGTGCGGCGCTGGGCAGTTCCGGCTCTGGCGCCGATCAGGTGCGGCGCTACCGTACCGCATTCACCCGAGAGCAGATCGCGCGCCTGGAAAAGGAGTTCTACCGGGAGAACTATGTGTCGCGGCCCCGCCGGTGCGAGCTGGCCGCTGCCCTCAACCTGCCCGAAACCACCATCAAGGTATCGATCCCAGCGCGCGCCTAGCTCGGGCCTCCCCTGGGGCGCCGGGGTTGATTGGTTCTCTTTTCTCTCTTCTCTTTCCTGGGTGGTGCGATTTAACTCAGGGCCTGCAAATCTGAGGGGGTTAGTCACCAAAGGAGGTGGCGGCTTCATTTCTCCCATGCCGCCGAATGCGAACGGTTGGCGGGCCTGGCCGCCAACCAGTGTCTCAATGGCGGCTCCCACGCTGCAGACTGGCCCTGGCCTCTGCTCGATTTTGCCCAACGTGTGCCCAGGTGCCCTCCATGCTCACAGTCCCGCGGCCCCCTAGGCGGCAAAGTCAGCTGGTCTTTGTTCTTCTGACACGAACCCGAGGTGAAACTTTATTCGCTCTTGATCTTGGGATCTATTTTTCCACACAAATCGTTACTACGTGAAGAAAGGGATTCTGCATTTTAAAAATCGATTGAATTGAAAGCGCAGTTTCCTAAACATTCTTCTCTTGGGCATTGGGGGGAAAGAAAACCTCTTGTGGAGGGGAAACGCAACGAAATTGACTATATCTGTTATTAATGTTTCATTATACGTCCAGGAGAGAGATAATCAGGAGTTAAGGCAACCGGGTGAACCTTTCACAGAACATTCGACACTCTAGAAAAAGAGGGGCTTTTCATAGGGGGATGGAGGGGGGGTCCTTTCAGTTTGATTAGTCTCTCTTAAGATTTAGGGTTCTGATGAATGTCATTATTAGGTTCTAGGTTAGATGGGATATAGACGTCTTCTTCCAGTTTATGGGGGAAATTACTCTCACAACTCATTTAAGACAAATGATTTCAACAAAATTATCCCTTCAATACCCTAATCGGACCCGTGCCCCTAGGGGCGGGTCGTAGCAGCTTGGAAGGCTCAAGATCTCGTTCGGTGGCCTCTTAGAAAAGCTAGAGACAGCTTCTCTCCAAAGGCTGGGCAGAATCCCCGAGCAAATCCTGGGATTGAGAGAGTGGTGCTCAGCAAGATTGGGCACCAGTGGGTGGCGGGAGGGAGATGAAAGGTTGGTTGGGCTAGGGCGAAGGAAACGCAGCCAGAATAGAGCGAAAGCCCCGGGAGTCGCAGTCCCGGAGAAACGTTTTCGCAGAGGACTGAGTGACCAAAGCAGCCCACACCTCGTCCCAGCTGGCAGCGCACAAGGGATTCGGGTCTAAGCTCAGTGCTAGAGGAGTAGGCCAGGACTTTCAGAGGCTGGGGAGGGTCCGGGAGGCTCTGGGTGGAGGCTGGGAAACGCAGGTCGCTTCCTAACCCCAGGTCGTGTGCGACTGTTCCCGCAGGTTTGGTTCCAGAACCGGCGCATGAAGGACAAGCGACAGCGCCTGGCCATGTCGTGGCCGCACCCAGCCGACCCCAGTTTCTACACCTACATGATGACGCACGCGGCCGCCACCGGAAGCCTGCCCTACCCTTTCCACTCGCACGTGCCGCTGCACTACTACCCGCACGTGGGTGTCACTGCGGCCGCCGCCGCCGCCGCCGCCTCGGGAGCAGCGGCCGCAGCCTCGTCGCCTTTCGCCACGTCCATCCGTCCGCTGGACACCTTCCGCGCTCTCTCCCACCCGTACTCGCGGCCCGAGCTGCTATGCAGCTTCCGCCACCCGGGTCTCTACCAGGCGCCCGCAGCCGCTGCGGGGCTCAACAGTGCGGCTTCGGCGGCGGCAGCTGCTGCCGCCGCCGCCGCTGCCGCCTCCTCAGCAGCCGCCGGGGCGCCTCCCAGCGGCAGCTCCGCGCCCTGCTCCTGCCTCAGTTGCCACAGCAGTCAGTCCGCGGCCGCCGCCGCCGCCGCCGCCGCCGCAGCCTTGGGCTCCCGAAGTGGCGGCGGCGGCGGCGGCGGCGGCGGCGGCGGCGCAGGGGCCTCCGCGGGCTCAGACTTCGGCTGCGGCGCGGCTGCGCCGCGCTCCGAGAGTGGCTTCCTGCCCTACTCCGCCGCAGTGCTTAGCAAGACCGCCGTGAGCCCGCCAGACCAGAGGGACGAGGCCCCGCTCACCAGATAACTACGTCGCCGCCGCCAGGGGGCCGCGCTTGCCGACCTGCGGGTGCCCGCGAGTCCCCGGTGCGCCCCCTGTGCGCCCCCCGTGCGCCCTTCGTGCGCTCCGGGTTTCCTCGGTGTGCGGCCCGCTGCTACCGCTGTCGCTAGGGGGCGCCCCGGGGCGCAGGAGGTCGAAAGGAATTGGGGGGGGAGAAAGGAGCCGGCACGTTAGCCTGGCGGGTGTCCCCCCCCCCGTGATTTCTATTTTTGTACTTCCCACCGAGCTGTCTCCCCCCTTCTCCTTCCTCTAAATACGTTTCCCGCCGTCCATGCCTCCTTTTCTCGTTTGTGTCCTGAGTTCAGTGGTCTCGGGGAAGACAATCCCCTGTCCCCCAAACCAGTCCTCCAGGGTCTTGAGCTCTGGCTGCAAGTCTTGAGTCCCAGGTCAATCGGCCGTGCAGCTGGAAGCCATGAAAAACCGCGAAGGAGACAGGGGAATGGTGGCCAGTGCTTTGGAGAAGGGGGCGTTGCCCCCCGAGGTTTACGCTGCTGCTCTTTTTCTTCTTCTAGCTTTCCTTTCTTTTCTTTAAACGAGGGTGGAAGGAGGTGGCACATTTTCTCTCCGCCCGAGCGTGTTAGTTAGGGACCCTATCGGAGCAGAACTGGATAATGGAAGTGTGAGGAGGCCGAGGATGCAGGTGGAGAACGCGGGTGCTTTGCAGGTGTGCGGGGGGACACCGCTTCGTAGTGCGGAGCCCAGCGGGGAGGGCTGTCGTCGCCTCTCCAGGCCGGGAAAGACAAAGCCGAGGTGGCGAGGAAGGGATGGCAGGTCATTCCTCCTCTGTCCCCTTCCACCTCGGTTCTCTGGTCTTTTTGATTTCAATGAGTTTGATATGGAAGGCTGCTGCATTTTTTTATTTTATGCAAAACGTGATGGCTAATGAGGTTGCCAAAACTAGGCCAGGCCAGGAAAGAGAAACGTACAGAAAGTGAGGGCGAAACTGACGGATCTCTGTAGTCTGTAGAGAAGCATTTTCAGTTCAGTTTTCCAACTGCCAGATTCCACTCGATCTGGGATATACTTGAATCTCTAGCTATATGACATTACCCTAAACACTTTAGACACTTTTCTAAGTTCATACTCTTATTTCCCCTCAACCCCTTCCCTCCTCGCTTTCCTTTTCCTGGGGTAAAAATGGTTCTTGGCAGATTTCTCACGCATGTCTATTATGCCTTCTCTGCAAAGCCACCGCTGGGTTGCTGAGACCCGCTGCCAACCCCGGCTACAGGAGGGGTTTCCTTGAACTTGAAGAAAGGTACATCAAACCCCACCAGTGTTAACTGCCACGTCAATTTTGATGCTAATAATGTGCAGATTATGACGAAAATTGCCAATCATGCTCTCTGATGGACCTCCTTTGAATGTGGAATTGGAGAAAAGTTCCCCGCACGGAGACCTGCTGTCAAGTACTAACAACCCGCTAAGGGAAGTCATTAGGAGAGACGGATAAGAGACTCGGTACATAAAACATTGTTCTTGGTGCATAGAATATATGTTATTTAATGTTATCTCTGTTACCTGAAGTGATTTCGCAGAAGAAAGCCACGTTCTTATCATCTCAATTGCCAATTTTCATTTTGGTAACTTGGACGCCCTGGGTAGACTTTTCTCTGTTAAGTTGATATTCCACCAATGTGAACAGCCTCATTAAATCAAGCCCAGATATTTCCATAATGCTCCCCGCAGAGCCACTTCGCTCCTCACATAATGAGACTTTCTGAAGAGTTGAAGCCCTAAAATAACTTGCTAGTGCATGTTTAGGCCCAGCGAGGTGGGTATGTGTGTGTGTGTGTGTGTGTGTGTGTGTGTATTAAAATGTAGGTAATGCTACCTACGTGTGTATGTGTATATATGTATATGTATGTATATACATATATATTCGTGCTCTTAAATAAATTTGTAAGAGATACACACATATTCATATATACACATTGGCACTATTTTCTGTGATTTATTTCAAATTTTTTCCTGACATATTTTTGTGATTTTAAAGACACTGGATTTAAAATTTTCATTTCCTAAAAATGCTTTCAGTATATATGTTTAATTCGCTTTCCAGGAGAAATTATTTTTTTTCAGATGGAAAATATTTCAAGGGAAAGCAATATTCAAAACTCCTGGGATCTATTAAAATATTCCCGTAAAATATTAGAGAACTACCCAAGGAATTAGCAACGATTGAAAGCTCAATTTTCTTTCTTTCTTTTTTTGTCTTAAAAAGATGAGACTACTTATGTGAAATATTGATTATATCAGCTCTTATTCACTGAGTTTACATTAAAAATATTAATATATAATTTAAGGCTAAATAAAATAAACCAAAATATGGTACCCTTTTATCAGCTTTACCTTTCTAGATCATTAAAATCCTTTGTTATGATCAGCTATCAGATGTATATAAGGTACTTTAGGCAATAATGTTTACATTTCCCCCCAAAATATATATGATTGATGAGAACGTTGGTTGGTAAAATTAACACAAATTCATCTTATGTTAGGTCCATTGGATCTGGTTATTAAAATAAAACTGTAAATAAAGTCTTTGTGCTTTAAATATTGCTGGCTGTATGAACTCACTGTAAGATATTTTACAAATGTGCAATAATTATAAAGCTTTGTATATTACATTATTTATTGTGTTTGGTCATGTAAAATAAATGTTATTTAAATCAGAGCAATTTTATTTGTTTAAGAGATTGCAAAACGGTGCGTGCTGGTGTTTGTTTTTAACTGTGGCATCCAGGGTTATGAAAATCTCTTAAAACAACATATTTAAATCCATATAATACACTTATCAGACGGATTAATTCATTCTAATCATTATTTTTACAGCAAATACATTACTCATGTTTATAGGAGACACACACTACGTCCAAACATTGGTTTAGCGTTAATTGGCTGGCTAAACAGATAAGAGCATTTAGGAGAAGTGTGTGTGGGCACACATTATAGAGGACATGCCAACATGGATCCAGGGAGTATGTACACATGACTAAAGCTAGGGGCTGTTTACATTTGCAGCACTACAAAGGTAAACAAAATTAATTTTTCCATCTCATTAATGTGCCCACTTTTTATTCTCCCACTTGTGGAGTAAATATCTTTCATTCTAGCAAAAAGCCCAAACTTACAAAGTGCTTCGAAGCCCCAAGCACACTTCCTCTTTCTGCTTGTCTCCCCCTTGACTGCCCTCATCCTCTGATCTCTTTTCTGGCTATAGAGTGGATTGTTTAAACTCAGGTATTGTTTCTATTTGCTGGGAATAAAGAATGCTGTGTGCATTTTTACCAAATCGACTATGAATATCTCCAGCACGTAGACCTCTAAAAATATGATTCCTTCTCCTTGTTTTCACTCTTTGGTTGTTTTTTTATTTTTCCCTTTCCCAATCCTAGCTCCTTTCCTGAATTTAATCCACCTCTTCATGTATTTACAGATCTACCTTAAAATCGATATTTCAATGGCAAAATGCAGGAGTCAATGGTGTGTGCAAAGCCGTCTATTTCTATTCGATTTAAAAACCAAGATGTCCCTTCCTCGAAATTTTCTTTCCCCAACTGCTCACCCTGGCATT